TGCTGCTGAGTTGGTCAGGACCCCGATCTTCTTGTGACTCACACTTGGAGATAGCAGTTAGGAGATTTCATTGAATGAAAACATACAATAAGGAAACCGGAGCATCAACATTTTGAAATAATGTAAGCAAAATAACTCTTCCCTTTGCAGTCCAGCTCTGTGCTGCTCCATGGAGAGCCTGGGGAGGTGACTTTGCAAAGGCCACCCCTCAGCTCTCATCAGCCCCTTTTGATGTGACTACCTGCTCAAGGGACAGCAATACCTCAGTGGCACTTTTCAGACTTTCCAGTTTCTGGATGGATAATTGAGACTTTGTTTCTGCCTTAATATTTGCAGATCATATCACAAGGGAGAAGCTGGAGCGGATTCTCGCTGTCATTCAAGGGACAAATCAAAAGGCCCTGCTGATGTGTGTATCCACTGGGGAAATGAGCTGATCTGATCCCACTGCCATTTGCTGGTCTTCCAAACAAATGAGAGGATTTTGTTTCCCATAATCGAAGTCTGTAAAGGTTGGAGTGCTAGCAAGGGCAGAGAGGAGTTACTCGTGAGTGCTCTGTGCTCTAGTGAGAGGTTGCAATTAAATGTCCTTCTTGTATCCCAAAATCTCTAATCTGCTGGTTTAGGAGCAATCTGCTATATAGGGCTGACAAAAATAACTTGTAGACATGACCAAGTACCTCCCTCCCAAAATGTGCTACACTACTGACAGTACATACACGACTGAAATATGTGCAAAAACTCACTGGATAGTTTTAGGAATAAAAATTGCATCTCTGTTTTATTGGGGATGGATATATTTTGAATCTCTTTGGAGAGAAGTTCTAAATATCTCTGCTGCTATCTTTTTTTTTTCCTAGGTATTCTAACATTGATATGAAAACACAAGAGGCATATGAGCTGGCTGTCAAAGGGTTGATTCGCCCCATGGGAAAAAGCCCCCCAATAATCACAGCAATCCGATGCCTCCAGTTTGCACTTCCAGAATTCCAGCTAGGTAGGACTGGCACAGAATGTACTGGGGAACTCTGAGTATATATTATGGCAAATAAGTTGGTAGGCTTCATTTTTTTACTCATGATTTAATGCAAAATTAGTTGGGAATTTCTTATCAACTCAACTTCTCTGGTAAGTTCAGCCAGCTCATAGGTTTTTCCTTGCCAGTTCAGATCTAAGCTCAAGGCTGGAAAATTTGCATCATGAATAACCTATGGGGGAAATTCTTCTTAGCACAGTGTTTCAGTGTATGCATTTCAGTGCTAGGTTTGGGGTCTTTTTATAATGCAACGTTTGTTTTCCTTTTCGCAGTCCCCTTTCCCTCAGAAATTATTAGTCTTATTAAAAAAGGTGCCTTTTTATCCCCTTTGAAATACCTAAATTTCTACATTACTCTTCTATATCTATAGGTTTCTTTTCTAAAGTATTCACTTTGGAAGGGTGTGGAACACCCTGCAGTATTTCAGAAAATCATACCATGCTCTTAGTGTCTTCTGCCAAACCAATTCTTTCAGCGTAACAGCGAGTGATGTCTGGATTTACAATGTCAGAGCTTGTGTCAAAGCTTTGCTTCTGTCTCTGTCCTCCTAGAAATCCATTGCTTGCATGAGACTCAGCAGTACCTCCGGAAGATGGTTCACGAGATTGGGCTGGAGCTGAAATCATCTGCTGTGTGCACACAAGTGCGGAGAATTCGCGACGGCATTTTCACAGTGGACGACGCTCTCCCGAGAACTCAGTGGAACCTGCAGAGCATCCAGGAGGCAATTCGGAACTGCCAGCTCAAAGTGGAAACAGAGCTGGAGAAAACACTGGGACATGGGGAAAACAGTCCTCTTCATCAGCTGGATGGGGACGCAGATGAGCATGCTCTGCAGGAGCGTCCCTGAGCAATCCCAGCAGCACAATACAGCAGTGACGTGATGGACAGCAGAAGGAAAGAGGTTAATTGCAGTTCACTTCCACCCTTTCCTTGAGATGACTTTTATCAGAGGCTTTTTCTTCAGTGACAGGCTGTATCATTTTTTTTAAAGCATCACAAACAGTTCATTAACAGGAGGTAGCTGTGCCAAAATTCCTGTTGATTTTGAGAACATTAGGTTGCTAAGGGACATAAAACCCATTCCCGAATTGTTTAGCACCAGGAAGCAGTGTCTCAGAAAGCTGTATTCCCTTGACTGCACAGATCTGTTGCTTGCAACTGGCAGTATAACTTATCTGCTGTATAGGTTTTATTTTTCCTGTGTTCTCCTGGAGTATTTTCTTTCCATTAGCCCTGCTCTCAGACACATGAGAGTTCAAAATTGGGCTAAATGAGGGATATGCAGGAGAAAGCACAGCTTACCCAAAGCAATGAAAGGAAATGGTTTTATCCAGAGTAGGCATGTGATGAAAAGTGGCTTATAATGGGGACTAATGCACAGGATACACAAAAAATAAAATGGAAAATGACCTAACGGGGAAGAGGTTGGTTCTTGGCTCAGTACTCATCCATGTACACTGACTCATAAAAAGCCCAGCAAGTGCTACTTTATTTTACCCTTTTTTTCCTGAGGAGCCAAGGGTGTTCAATGGTGTCTGGTATCCTCTTCTGCAGCCGCTCCTTGCAGACAGCAGGTCCTGCCCTTTGGTGAAACTGTAAACTCTGTGATACCATTTGGTGTCTCTTAGCTCGTTATAGCTGGGTCTGACTTTGCAGAAACACACTTTCTAAATTTAAATCTGGAATTACACTTACCATTATTGCACTCAATGGTTTTCTAGTTATAGACTTAGTGAGTTTGGAAATTTATTTATGGAAAGCAGAAGATTTGTTCTGTTCCTCTCCTGGACTTGGACAAAGGCCAGCATATTTCATCCTTCAGGTGACAGCCATAAAGGTACAAGAATAACTCTGGGAGGGGCAGTCACAGGGTCCATGATGAAGTACCTCAGTGGCAGCATGCAGTCCTGTCCTGAAGCATCCCAAGAGTCCTTAACTTAGTCCCTGGAATCTTTCAGTTCTGAGTTCCTCTGGGCTGCACAGAGCAGCCAGAACAGCCGTGGAACGCAGCTGCCACCATCTGGCAGAGCCACCCTGCCAGCAGCAGAGATTCCCCAAGGACACCATGCCCAGTCCTTGGGTTGTTCTGTGGATGTTCTCATCCTCCATGGACAAGGGATTGGGATCAGGGGACCTTCCCTGGACACCTGCCCAGTACTACCTTAAGTGTAAACCCATCCCTGCAGCTGCAAGCAGGACACTTGCATAGCTACAGCAGCAAGTTTTAACCCCAGTGCTCCGACATAATGGGGAAGAAAACACGGACTTCTCACTCTTGAACAACCTTCAGTAACTTTGGTAATGGACTATACTTCATCCCCTCAGCTCACACCTCACACAAACTGAAGGATTTCCATACATACTTCCTATTGCAAAAACAATTTCCAGTTGTGTATCCCGCTGACAGAAATATTTTGGTTGGAACACTCCAGGCTGAACCAGTCCTTCTGCTCAGGAAACACCAGCCAGAACAGCAGCTTTAGTAACAAAGTGTGCATTTCCCAGTTCTTGCCACCTTGTGGCTTTTTTCCTCCCCTTCAAACTACTCCAAAACACGAGTGTTCCACGCTTGGCAGAAGGGTATGTGGTAGGGAGGGGTGTGAACGTCCCCGTGAGAGTCCATTCTGGTCTGGCCACAGGAAATACGATTCTGCACAGCTACACATCAACAGAGACTTATTTGGATGAATCATGGAATATACAGGCTCTTTCTGTCCCCCTGCTTGAGACCACTGCCCACAGCTCTTGAAGCAAAACGAGCCTATTAGTGATGTGTCTGTGCCACATCCAGAGCCAGGAGTGCAAAACCAATTATCTGTTCTCAGCAGCAGCCTTGTGACTGGCTTCTGGCTTCCAATCACAATGAAGACAAATTAATTGATTCAAATTTGGAAGTAACAAGGAGACTGCAGCATGGGCCTAACTGGAGACCACAGGGGAAACTTACTGGCTAGAATGTCTTGGAAAGTAAAAATGGGCAGGACATCAAGGCTGAGTGAAAAAGGGACAATAGATCTGCAGTCAGCAGAGCACTTCATCACTTCCAACTGCCCAAAGCAGCCAAATTTAGTCTGTGCAGTCACTCTCAGCCCTAACACTGACATTGAAACACCCGTGCTCCCAACATCATCCCCTGTCCAGGACAGTGCTCACTCCATGACTCTGCACTTAGAGCAGGGAAAAGTCATTCTGCACCTGCACATTCCTGGAGAAAACATTGGAATAACTCGTGTTATAGTTGTCTCAATACAGTTTTAGATTTTGTTCCCAAATTCATACAATGTTTTATAGGCTCTTAAAGTGAATTACTGACAGATGTGAAAGCTGCTTTATTCAGAGTGGACAGTTCAACACAACTTTACATTTTGCCATTTTCTACAGAAATGATACAAAACCTCCAGATACCAGAGCAAGTAACTACAAAAATTTAGAACACCCAGACTTCTCTGGATTTGTTGATAAAATAAAACTCCCAAACCACCAAAATTTCTGCCTTCTTCCCTCCCTTCTTCTGAGGGTTTTTCCTTTCAAAGCAACTATTACATTGCACATTTGTATGTCCTCACTTCCTCTATCCATTCAGTAACCAAACAGTCCCTGTATACTGCAGGGAATCAAAGGCTCCGTGGAAGAGGTTCAACATCAACCTGAACAACAACTTTAAAAAAAAAAAAAAAAATCCTGTTGATCAGGTAGTACATGAAATTATCTAAAATCCTACATCCCTTTTCCAAAGGTTCCTTTTCCACCTTCTGTCTCTTCTAAATCAGGATGACACCTACATGTAATGACCCAGTGACAGTCACTTTTGCAGGACATGGCAGTCTCCAGGTTCAGGACTAGTCACTGAGCTCCAGGTCATACTCAGGATAGAGCTGTTTTGTAGTGACCCCTCGGATAACAGCTAGGAAATAAAGAAACAGCATTGCTTTCATTAAACAAAGATCAGATGAGTCAGAAACGTGGTGCTTTTCTCCCATAATTACCCCATAGCACATTCCATAGCCAAGAAAACCAAGGTTTTGAGCTGTGCCTCCTGCTTGCCCAAACACTTTTTTCTAAAGTGAAGAATCTGTTACACAAGCTTTGCCTCCATGGTAGCAGCTTCTTCTCCATCTGTATGAAAACACTGGCTAAAAAGTTCTTGAACAACTTTCCCTTCCTTACCTAACTTGCCCAGGAGCATCTGCCCAGCATCTTTGATTTCATTGTACTCATGAAGCAGAGAGATGTGCTTGTCCAGTTCCTCCAGGCTGTAGCCCCTGTAAATTAACACCAGAAAGGTGACAAATGACACAGAGGGACTGGGGGTTCCTGCTGCTGTGGGAGATACCCAAGCTTGGCACCTCAAAAGCAGAAACTGAACACAGCAGAGTGCAGTTGCAGCTGCAAGTTGTAAACATGAAAGCTCTTAATAAGCTCAAGAAAGTCAATTCAACCTTCTCAGAATCAAGTAGAAACAAGTAGGCTGTGGTGAATTCCATTGGTATGTATCTCTAATCTGTATATAGGGAAAAATTTAAGAATTGTAGAATCATTTAGGATGGAAAATATCTCCAAGATCATCATGTCAAATCTTTGGCCAAGCACCACCATATTAACTAAACCAGAGCACTGAGTGCCATATGCAGTCATCTCTTGAACACCTGCAGGGAACATGACTCCATCACCTCCCTGGTCAGCCCATTCCAATGTTTAATCACCCTTTCAGCAGAGAAATTCCTCCTCATGTCCAACCTGAAGTTCCCCTGGCATAGCCTGAGGCCATTTCCTCTTGTCCTGTCACTAGAAGGTTTGTTTACCCTTGAGGATAAATGAAAAAGGGTTCTGGAACAGCTTTTGTTGTTCTACCATTTCCATCCTATGTACTACACTTACCTCAGAAAACATCAGTCCTTCACAACAAATAACAAATGGCTTAAATTATCCGTTCCCAGTAAACACATAATTATCTCAGGAACACCCAAGCTAAAACAAAAATCCTCTTATGCAAGCTCCTAGTAAAACTTGTTTTGCTTTACAACATAAAGTGGAAAGAATTCCCTCTTGTCTCTAACAAGTTCCATCACTTACAACAACACTGTAACCAACATTGCACCATGCCAACAATGGCATCATAGAAGGTCAGCTCTCAGCTCCAATTCTTGGATGTTTTAAAAACGAAAATATGGAAGGCATCACAGTGAACACTGAGCTTGCCAAGGACGTACTCTGACAATAATTGTGCAATTTCCTGGTCTAGAGCAAGGTCTTTCTGTTTCAGCTCTTCGATTTCACACCGCAGGGCTTCTTCGCTGGCTCCATTAGGCTGGAAGGACTTTGGAGATGAGACCTGTAGAACACAGAAGACATGTAGCAGGAACTCAGCTCTGGATAAGATGCTACAATGCTGGAGCATTAATGGGAAAATAGTGTGTGTGTCACAGGATAAAATAGAAAAGGAGTAAAAATATCCACAGGACAGAGAGGGGAGGATTCAAGTAAAATATGGATCAGTGTACATAACATTAGTCTGCTCCATATCACACCCTACAGCACTTTCGAAAGTTACAGTGTAAAGTGAAGATAAATAATTAAAAATCACAATGTGCCTTCTAGGAGAAACTCCCAGCACGACACAGTGCAAACTGCGGTGCCGGCACTAACCGAAGGAACCAGCACCTTCACCCTCATGGAAAAACACTCCCCACCAGGCCGGGCTGAGCCCCCGCGAACGCATGGGCCGCTCCCGGGGGAGCCCCGCGCAGAACTCACCAGTGCCCTGAACCCGGCCGTGCCGCCCCGCCGGCCGCCAGCCGAGACCCTACCAAAGCAGAGAGCGCCGCGTTAGGGGCCGGTACCGCTGCCTCGGCGAGGACACGGCCCGGGAGGGGAGGGCAGCGGGGAACCGGCTCCTACCTCCTGGGCAGGGCCCGCAGCGGCGGGTGGCGGGGCGGGCTGCGGCCCGCGCTCGGAGGGACCTGCTCGGCCAGGGCTGAGGGCTCCGCGCTGACGGCTCGGGGCTCCCGCCACACCGGAGAATTGCAGTCCCCCCACCACACAGCACGTCGGGAGTTGTAGTCCTGCCGCCACAGAGCACGCTGGGAGTTGTAGTCCTACCGCCACACAGGACTCCGGTAGTTATAGTCCTGCTGCCGAGAGGCGTGCTGGGAGTTGTAGTCCCCTGCTGGGCCCGACCATGGTGGGGCTGACAAGTGACATTAGGTGTGGCAGGACACAATTGTGTCCCAACGGCCGCAGCCGAGGTAGTTACATTTAGCGCTTCAGAGACACCTCTGCACCGCGGCTCAGCTGGGACAGGGGCTCAGGGTGTCTCGGAATCACTCACACAGAATCACTGAATCAATCTGCTTCGAAAAGACCTCTGGTTCGAATAATCACCGAGTCCAACCTGTGATCGAACACCACCACGTCAAATAGACCACGGCAATGGGAGCCAAGTCCAGTCTTTATCCTTAAGCACCTCCGCAATATTTTTTTCGCAAGGTGAGCGCTGCCCACACCCCTGCTTTTCCCCGTGTCCCGCCGGGCCACCGCAACTCCCTGCGGGGCCGGCCCCCCGAGTCCCGCACAGAGGCTCGGACAGCGCTGGAGAGCCGTCCCGCCGCGCTAGGGCCCGGCTGGCTCAGGGAGCCGCGTCCCTGTGAGCGCCGTGGGCTCAGAGAGCCCGGGCTGCCCGAGCCTCAGGTGCTGCCGAGCTTGGAAGGTCAAAGGATTTGGGATCACACACAACGACCCCGCCGCCCGCGGGGTCAGCGCTCGGACACCACAAGGCAGAACGCGAGGCGGGTGTGCGGGACGCGCTCCGCAAAGGCGAAAGAAGCCGGGCTGGCCCCTCCCGTCATTTGCTCTGGGCTGTCGGGTCACTACAGCAGCGGGACAGCGCCGAGTGCCACACGAGGACCGAGGTGTCCCAGGACGGGGGTGTCCCGGCGGGGCTGTCCCGCTGTGTCACCCCGGGGTGTCCCGGGGCGGAGCGGGGCCGGCCGGGGGCGGAGCCGCTACCGCCCCCGCCGCTCCTGGCGGGCTGACGTGGCCCGGGCGCGGGGCGGACATGGCGGACGGCAGCAGGCAGAGCCGGTTGGCCGCGGCCAAGAAGAAGGTGAGGGGGCCCGGGCAGGACGGGACACGGCACGACGGAGCTGGGGGTGGCTGCGTACCGCGAGCCCCGCACGGGCCGGACTCCGGGCCGGGCCGAGCGCGGCCTCCCCCGAGGGGCGCGGGCCGGGCCGCCGCCGCCCCCTCGCTCCGGGCCCGGCCGCGGCGGGGCCCTGGGAGCCTGCGGGTGTCCGGGGCTGCGGCCCGGCCTTCTCGGCGGGAGCTGGGGGCGAGGCCGGGCCTGGGTGGCTGCGGTGCTGTGAGCGTTGCCCGGGCTGGTGTGCAGGTGTCGTGTCTTCTCCCCGCCTCGCTTCCTCCCCCCTCCCCTTATTTTGCCTGTTTTTTCCCTGTATTTTTTCCCTCGAGGCGGCCCGGCTGCCTGCGTCCCGGCGGGATGCGCTTCTGTGTCAAAGTCACAGGAAAGGGAAAGTGTCCTGGAGCAATTCAGGCTTCCATTTTGAAATCCTACCAATAATGGGATCCTCGTTCGTCCTTCTCCATCCCCCGCTGCCTTGTCGTGCCCTGCCCGGGGTGTGCGGGCCGGGGGTGCCGTTATTTGCATAAACAACTGCCGGAACCGGCCGCCCTGGGGCTCGGACGTGCAGGAATTGCACAGAAATGCCGGCAGACCTGGCGGGATTCGAGTTACATCTTATCAGACGGGCACTTCCTGGGCGAGGTGGATGCGATTTAAAATTGTTTGTAGATTGTTTCTCCCCTTAGTTCGCAGTTTTTGCAGTGTCTGCTGTGGGGATTGCAACTGTCCTTCATAAAATCTTTCACGGAGTGGAATATTTTACTATCAGGCAGTGCTTTTTCACTTTGCACGCAGGATTAATTGCCCTTATTGCTCTTACTTATAACCCTAAAAATCCCCCAAATCAGTGCTTTCAATCTCCTTTTAGTTGCACTATGGAGTATCAAAAAATGTCCCAGGAACAGTATTGGCTGTAAACAAAAGTTGAATGTTTACAACTCTTATCATAAACCTATCTCTTTGGTCTTTAGCCTTCTCTGGGCTTATTTTGGTTTATGTTTTCCCCCCAAACAGATGAATTAATGGAAGACCATTTCTCTTGTCCTTACACTTGATCTGTATTTTTACCAGTGAAGTTAGGTTTAGAGGTTTTTTTGGGGTTATAGAAAGCATATTCTGTTTGGACTTCAGATTCTTCTTCTGTTCACAGCTGAAGGAATATCAGCAGAAGAACAGCCCTGGAGCAACTGCAGGAACTAAGAAAAAACGCAAAACTAAAGAAGGCAGCAGACCTGCAACTCCCACCACTGATGACCAGCAGCCTCCAGAGAATGTGAGTGCCTCATTCTTTCTCTCAAGTAATTTGCCACCTCCCTCTTCTTCGTTTTTCTGGACAATCTGACTGGAGCTGGAAGTGGTTGTTGGGGTAAGAGCTGAGTGGTGTAGGTGCTGTATGAAGTGTGCTGCAGTAGTTGGCAGCTGCCTGTTCTGGAAGGTGCAGCTGGCATCAGAGTCTGTCCGATGGTGCCCTGGGTGTGCCCAGAGCTGCCGGGCTGAGGTGTGTGGTCCTCACAAGCTGTTTCTTGGCTGCCTTGGATTGACGTTTTCTCTCTGTCCTTCTCTGAGCCATTTCTCTTTCCCCTTTTCTTTCGCCTCCTGTAGATTCAGAACATTCTGAAGGTGCTGGTGTCAGACCTTAACCGCTCCAATGGGGTAGCCATACCCTCATTGGACAAGAGGAAGGTGAGGCAGTGCTTGTGTCCCTCTCAGTGACTCGCTCTCCCTCCTGCATGCTTCGAGTTCCGAGCTCCATCTCCAGGATGGAGCCTTGTCCTCACACATCCATTGTCAGTTGCTTCAGTTTTGTTGCTGTTTTTATTAACATGGAGCTCTTTGTTACCATTGCTTGTTTCCTTCTGGTTTGTGTCAATGTTAACACGTCAAAAAGTGAGCTTTGTCAAAAAGTCTTTCTTGAGACAGCTGAGCTTGGAGGAAAACAGGAGTTTGGGGTGAGGCAATAAACTCATTTAACAGCTGAGGAAAACTGCACTAGGAAGAGGTAGTGTTTCCATATTCTGTATTTCTCCTGCTCTGAGTGTCATTGCTTTGTTTCCTGGAGCTTGGTCTCAGAAGGGCATGTTTCTGCTCATCTCCAGGCAAACAGCTGCACTGGCTGGTTATTCCAGCCACCCCTTTTATGACAGCGATGAAGCTGGCACAGGAGATGTACAGTCTGGCAAGTACCAGGGGTGTAAATATGCTTAGGCAGGAAGTCAGATACTTCAAAGCCAGGCATGTACAGGCTTTAGCGTCTTCACATTCCCAAGATCCTGAAGAGGAAAGGGCAGGGAGTATGCCAAGAAGCAAGAGAAAGGTGTTCAGAAGCATACATGAACAAACTGCCTTTTAAAAGTATTTCTCTTCAGACAGGCAGTTTATTTAAAATAGGGCCCAAACTGTGATAGGAATTCAAAGAAGTCAAATTTTGTAGCCCAGAATGTTCTTCCAGTTTTGTTGTACCAAAGCTGTGCTTTTCATTTTCACTTGCATTGCTTTGGTAGCTTATTTCCCTACCATTGTTTCAATGTAGTTGTCATAAAGTAGCTCATTGTTATATTTACTGCATATCCATGGGTCTCCAGCAATAAATATAACTATACTAATCACATGGGGTACCTGACAGATGAAGTTAAACTTGCAAGGTGGAATGGAATTCCCTATGAATTGCCTTTGTATCCTTTTTTCCTTTTTTTTTCTTTTGTGTGATCTGACACACACAGTTTCACCAGCTGGACCTTGTGTAGGTCCTGTACCAGCAGAACTCGAGTGATGTGAACTGCCAGCTTTGGGGTGCTGGGTGTGCCTCAGAAAACTGAAGTGTCACTGTTGTCCTGGGGACTGTTTTCAGTTAATACTTGTAAGCTCAGAGTGAGTTAAGTATTGGAGAAAGAGACTTGTTTTCCGTTGGCGGGTGAGATGAAGATAAGTGGTCCAGTGCTGTTGCTGAAGAGACACTTAGCCTTGCAGTGAAGGCCTACCTGTGTCTACAGCTTTAGTTGTGTTCTGCAAAGGGAGAATTTATTGCTCTAGTCATTCTTGTTTCCCTTTTTTTTTTTTTCTCTTTCCCTGAGAGTTTGATCTGATTGGCTATTATGGAATTTTTGGATTGTTGTGCCCGGTCTTTTAGGAATTATTTGAAAATTAATCTTCAACTGCAATATGTAATGAAAGAACAATTTCTCATTCTGGTTGCTGTCTTGTAAAAAGCCTGAATCAGGAAAAAGCTGCTTAGAAACTTGATGCTAATAGGGCAGAAAAGCTGAGCTGCTGCTGCCATTGGTGTCTCGTGAAGCAGAGCCCTCCCTTCTCTCTCACTTCAGCTTTCTTGGCTCTGAAACAGAGGAAAACCAGAAAAGTAGAAGCCTTTGTGTGAAAGCAAATGGATGCTAATGCTAAGCAGAATTACTGACTTTTTATTCTGCATTATTGGAATGTCACAATGCATAATTTCCGTATAAGTTCCGTATGAGTGTTGATTGCTCCAATAGTTTTGGGGTTTCTGACAGTTTCTTACAAAACTACTCCTTGTGAAGAAAGAAGGAAGTTCGTGTGGTTAAGGAACATTACTGGTTTCTGCATCTTGGAAGTATTAGGCAGAAAGAATGTTCTAATCAGAAGAAATTATCATTTTGAGATGCACTGGGGAATGAATTCCTTCTTTCCCTCTGATATTTATATTGATAAGTGTGTGATTGATAAAGGTGAAGTAACCTTTAGCTAGAAGAAATGAGGGAGTTCCTAATAAGTACTTAACATATTGCTCCTTCAGAGCATCAGTACCTGTCCTGCTAAAAAGAAATTCAGAAAATTCTTGTTTTCCCTTTGTAGTCTTCCAACTTACTGCCTTCATTAAATCTGTCTCCACTGTTGCTGTTTTAACCTTGCTGCTGGATTAGCGAGTGAAGTGCTGAGCAGGTAAACAGGGAATGCCAAGAGAGAGAGATTTCTTGGTTCCTATGAAGTGCCAAGAAGGAAGCAACTGAAGTAAGAGGGAACTCTTCCAGGCAGAATTGCAGAAAGCTGCAGTCTATTGGTGGGGCTGAATGCTGAAAGATTATCTCATTTGTTTTGTTGTGTTTAAGTGATGACTTACCAGAGCTGGATGATGAAATGAATGAAATTGCTATAAAACACAAGAGCACTGCTGGACCTTTATGGCTCTTGTGCTGTGCAAGGAGATGAAATGGTCCAGTGCAATGTGGCTTCGTAGAGGGGGCTGCAGATGCCATCCATCCTCCCACAGAGGCTGGATGGGAACTTGCTGTCCAGAAATAGTTTTCTGGCGCTTCTCTTTTCTATTTAAATTCTTCTAGTCATGGGATCCATGGCTACAGCAGGGCCACAGGCACCTGCTTCAGCCACCCTCCCTCTGGCCTTCATAAATTCTTCTGACATTCATAAATGTCCTGTTTCTAAACTGGTGGGTCATGGCATGCCACAAATTTCACTGAGTTTTAGACAGAGCACTTGAGTCTGACTAACCCAATTTTCAAGCAGTCACTCCCCTGTTCTTTTCCATCTTCATTTGCATACAGTGATCTGTGTTTTCCCCAGGAATACCTCGAAGGTGGTGCTTTCCAAAGCACAGTGACATTTGCCCTTACTTGATTTTTGGAATCTTTTACAGTGAATCTCATGTATGAATGTAGGAGTTCGGGTGATGTTACTGCCCTGTATTAAAAAAAGGGAGTTGGATTGTGGGACATTGGTTCTTTATGAAAGGACACACTCTGGGACAGTGTTTATCTGTGGTTGATGCAGCCACCTCTTTGCTCTGGGGAGAACACAGGTTCCCTTTCATATGTTTCTTACTGACTGTTCACATCTGTCTGGTTTTCACAGGCAGGCCACAGGGTGATGTGTTGTTGTGTGTGTTCATTTTGCATGAAGGCTGTAATCCTGTGCTGTGTTTTGTGACAGG